ATCTCAGCTCACTGCAAGCTCCGCCTCCCAGGTTTACGCCATTCTCCTGACTCAGCCTCCCGAGTAGCTGGGACTACAGGCGCCCACCGCCCGGCTAATTTTTTGTATTTTTTAGTAGAGACGGGGTTTCACCGTGTTAGCCAGGATGGTCTCGATCTCCTGACCTCATGATCCGCCCGTCTCAGCCTCCCAAAGTGCTGGGATTACAGGCTTGAGCCACCGCGCCCGGCCTAATACCACCATCATTCTATAAAGAATTAGAAAAAACAATTCTAAAATTCATATGGAACCAAAAAAGAGCCCACATAGCCAAAGCAAGACTAAGCAAAAACAACAAATCTGGATGTACCACACTACCTGATTTCAAACTATACTATAAGGCCATAGTCACCAAAACAGCGTGGTACTGACACACAGACCAGTGGAACAGAATAGAGAACCCAGAAGTAAAGTCAAATACTTACAGCCAACTGATCCTCGACAAAGCAAACAAAACCATAAAATGGGGAAAGGACACCCATTTCAACAAATGGTGCTAGGATAACTGGCTAGCCACATGTAGGAGAATGAAACTGGATCCTCATCTCTCACCTTATAAAAAAGTCAACTCAAGGTGGGTTAAGGACTTACACCTAAGACCTGAAACCATAAAAATTCTAGAAGATAATGTTGGAAAACCCCTTCTAGACATTGGCTTAGACAAGGATTTCATGACCAAGAATCCAAAAGCAAAGACAGTAAAAACAAAGGTAAATTGCTGGGACCTAATTAAACTAAAGAGCTTTTGCGTGGCAAAAGAAACAGCAGAGTAAACAGACAACCCACAGAGTGGGAAAACATCTTCACAATCTGTACATCTGACAAAGGACTAATATCCAGAATCTACGGTGAACTCAAACAAATCAGTAAGAAAAAAAAACACTCCCATCAAAAAGTGGGCTAAGGACATGAATAAACAACTCTCAAAAGAAGATATACAAATGGCCAACACACATATGAAAAAATGCTCAACATCACTAATGATCAGGGAAATGCAAATCAAAACCACAATGCGATACCATCTTACTCCTACAAGAATGGCCATAATCAAAAAATCAAAGAATCAAAACACAGTAGATGTTGGTCCGGATGCGGTGAACAGGGAACACTTCTACACTACCGGTGGGAATGCAAACTAGTACAGCTGCTCTGGAAAACAGTGTGGAGATTCCTTAAAGAACTAAAAGTAGAACTACCATTTGATTGAGCAATCCCACTACTGGGGATCCACCCACAGCAAAATAACTCAATACTCAAAAAAGATACCTGCACACACGTTTATAACAGCACAATTCACAACTGCAAAATCGTGGAAAACCCAAATGCCCATCAATTAATGAGTTGATAAAGAAACTGTGGTATCTATATACGATGGAATACTATGAAGCCATAAAAAGGAATGAATTAACAGCATTTGCAGTGATGTGGATGAGATTGGAGACTATTATTCTAAGAGAAGTAAATCAGGGATGGAAAACCAAACATTGTATGTTCTCACTGATATGTGGGATCTAAGCTATGAGGATGCAAAGGCATAAGAATGATACAATGGACTTTGGGTACTTGGGGGGAAGAAGGGGAGGGAGGTGAGGGATAAAAGACTACAGGATATGGTGCAGTGTATACTGCTTGGGTGATGGGTGCACCAAAATCTCACAGATCACCACTAGAGAACTTACTCATGTAACCAAATACTACCTATATCCCAATAACTTACAGAAAATACAAATAAAAATAAGAGTCAAGAAATTATAGTCATCAAGAGAAATCTAGTCTGCTACCTATTCTTGTCAATAAAGTTTTATCAGAACACAGCCACATTCATTTGATTCCATGTCATTAAGGCTGCTTTCTCACTCAAAGAGTACACCTGAGCAATAGCAACTGAGACCTCATGGCCAAAAACTACTACATTGCCCTTCATAAAAAGAGTGTGCCAATTCGTTAGGTGATGGTAAGTCAGCATTCTTTCTCCCAATAACATTCTCACATGAAACATTTTCAGCTGTAACTCCTTAATTTTCAGATGTAGAAGACACTTCTCTTGTTTCCAGCACTGGTATTTTCCTCATATTGACTGGAATATATCAGAAACTAGGAGGAAAAGTCAAAGCCACTGGAAAATACGTAAAGCCATCTTCACCATGGGAGTCATACTGATGCAAAACTGAGCAAATGATTCAAATGTTACTTATGTTTACAACAGGAACTTCAAAAACTGTTCAGCATCACTTCCAGAAAATTTAGGTCTATTAAATTATTATTTAGAATTGGGAAACTTGGTGCTTTGCTGTTTTGTTTTGGCACTTTACAACTTTTTTTTCTGAGCAGTTTTATTAAGTTTACAGAAAAATTAAATTGAAATTAGAGTTTCCATCTACCCCTTCGCTACCAGTCCCTCCTGTTTCCTCTGTTATTAACATCTTGCATTAGTGTGGCCGCTGTTATATAACTGATGAGCCAATACTGATGCACCATTAACTAAGTTCCATAGTTCACACTGGGGCTCTTTGTGTTGTACATTTTATGAGTTTTGACAAATGTATAACCTATAATTGCATGTCTCCAATATTACAGTACCATACCAAATACTTTCACTGCCTTAAAAGTCCCATTTTCCCTCTTCTCTTAGCATAGCAATTATGTTAAAAAAAAACCAAACAAACAAACAGACATTTTTTCAGTGGCTATCTTAGAGTTTGCAATATGCATTTATAACTACACCAAGTTCACTCTCAAATAACACTTTCCCCATTCATGGATAGTGGAAGTACCTTGTAACAGTATTCCCACTTTCTTCTTCTCATCCCTTACAACACTGGTGTCATTCATTTTAATTATCTATAAGCTATAATCACCATACGTTTTGTTGCTGTTATTCTTCAGAACTGTTGTCTGTCAGATCAATTAAGAAAAACTATTTTACCTTCATTCATCTACAATGCTCCTCCTTTCTTCGTGTAGATCTGAGTTTCTAATCTACATCATTATTGTTTTGTTGTTTTTTGATGAATATCTTTTAGTGTTTCTTACAAGGACGGTTTACAGGTAACAAAGTTCCTCAACTTTTGTTTATCTGAGAAAGTATTTCTCATTTGCTTCTGAAGGATAATTTCATTTGTATACAGAATTTGATGGTGATAAGTGTGATGACTGGAAGAAGACGTACCCAGACAGCTGAGCTGGTAAAGCATTATTTCTCGGTGTGTCTGTGAGGGTGTTTGGGGAAGTAACTGGCATTTCAATCAGTGGACTGAGTAAGAAAGCTCTGTTCTCATCCATTGTGAGCAGGCACCCCAAAGCCGGTTGAGGGTCTTGATCGAAAAGGCAGAGAAAAGGCAAATTCTCTCTTTTCTGGAACTGGGACACCCATCTTTTCCTGCTCTTGAATCACCAGAATGCCACGGACTTCTGAGCTTTGGATTCCCAGGCTTATACCAGTGACCCCCCACCCCCAGGTTCTGAGGCCTTTGGCCTCACACTGACAGACACACTGTAGGCTCCCCTGGTTCTGAGGCCTTCAAACTTAGGCTTGCCAACACCTGTCATGGGACTTCTCAGCCTCCACAGTCATGTAAGACGGTTCCCCTAATAAATTCCCTCCCATCCATCCATCCATCCATCCATCCATCCATCCATCCATCCATCCGTATCCTGTTGATTCTGTTTCTCTGGAAAGCCCTAATACACTGGGTTTTTTTCTTTCAGCACTTTATTGCACTTCACTCTATTCTTCCTTGCATGGTTCCTGAAGAGACATCTCATATGACTCTTATCTGTGCTCCCCTATAGTAAGTTGCTTCTTTCAAGAGTTTCTATTGGTTTTTAATTTTCTGCAATTGGAATAGGATATGTTTGAGTGTAGATTTTTGGCATTTGTCTTGCTCCATGTTCTCTGAGCTCCCAGGATCTATGGATAGCTGTCTATTATAATTTTGGAAATTTTCAGGCATTAATGCTTTAAGTCATTCCCAGGAAGAGACTCAGCCATGCTGTGCCTCCATCATGTCTCCCCTACAGTCCCCTCATTGTTTCCCATGCTCTTTTCTGGGTGACGCATGATTTCTCCCTCTGTTGGCCTCCAGCATTCCAGAACTTAATTCCTCTGCCCTACCTTTTCAGGTGAAAGAAGTGCTCTTCTCATTGCCTGCAGAGCCCTGTGCTCACTGCTGAAATCTGCATTCTGCTGTCATCCTCAGCATCGGGTCTCTCAACACCTATCCCACCTGCTCCTTAGCCAACTAACTTCCACCATCCACTCATTCAGTCATCACTTTCTGTAGGAAGCTACACCTTCCCTCACCTCACTCCCCACCAACCTAACCTCCCTCAGCCCCAGGCTGGATTAATCGCACCCCCTCTATACTAATCTCTACCATTCAACCAGTAAAAGTAGAGATGAGAGTGGTCTCTTGGGATCTACGAGTAATCGGTCCTGGGACATTCTGTGGTTACCAAAATCTGGGGATTCTCAGGTTCCCTACATAAAATTGCGTAGTATTTGCATATAACCCATGCGCATCCACCAGCATACTCTAGATTACTAATCATATCTAGATTACTTATAATACATAATACAATGTAAACTGTTATCAAACTGTACTGTTTTTGTTATTTTTTATTGCTGCATTGTTTTTCCTGAATATTTTCCATCTGTGGTTGGTTGAATCTGTCCATGCAGAACCCATGGATATGGAGAGCTGACTGTATTTCTTTATTACCTACGTGGTGCGAGGCACATGAAGGGGCTGAATAAATGCTTAGGAATGAACCTCTAATTGGTATGTCTGCTCCTCAAGGACAAGTGTTACCACCTGCAACTGTCTGCATCCCGCACCTGGCTGATCTCCCGCATCTGTCTGCATCCCGCACCTGGCTGATCTCCCACACCTGTTTGCATCCCGCACCTGGCTGATCTCCCACACCTGTCTGATCTCCCGCACCTGGCTGATCTCCCGCACCTGTCTGCATCCCGCACCTGTCTGATCTCCCACACCTGGCTGATCTCCCGCACCTGTCTGCATCCCGCACCTGGCTGATCTCCCACACCTGTCTGCATCCCGCACCTGGCTGATCTCCCACACCTGTTTGCATCCCGCACCTGTCTGATCTCCCGCACCTGTCTGATCTCCCGCACCTGGCTGATCTCCTGCACCTGGCTGATCTCTCGCACCTGGCTGATCTCCCACACCTGGCTGATCTCCCACACCTGTCTGCATCCCGCACCTGGCTGATCTCCCGCACCTGTCTGCATCCCGCACCTGGCTGATCTCCCGCACCTGGCTGATCTCCTGCACCATGTCCTTGGACTCCATGGAGCTCAGATTCTTCCTGCTCCATGTGAAATGCAGCAAGCACAGCTTGAACTCCCCACATTCCAGCTACATGCCAGATCTTTCCAGCCAACCTGAAACACAGGTGTCTGTGGAGGAAGATAAGGAACCTCCTGTGGTCCCCTGCCAGCCCTGAACGTTGCTAGAGGCAATGGCTGAGGTTATACATTCTGGCAAATTCTGCTGGTCCTAACCAAAGCTGCCCAGTATGAAGGGAGTCTCCTTTGGAGGACACACCCTAGGAACAGCTGATTCTGTCTGGGGTTCCACCACTGCTGCTAGTGCTGTGGGTGGAGGGGGAGGCCACAAGGCCATGCTGGAGGCTGTGCTGGGCCAGTCTTCATCTCAAGGGGAGGCAGAGGACTGGCAGGCACTTTGACTGTTCTGCTGGTCTTTCAACCTGACTCCTGATCCTCCTCAAGCCACTGACTTTCTGTTACAGGAAAATGTGGGAAGAGCAGGCTCACTGCTTTGGGCTGGAGAGACCCTAGGCTCTACCTGGAAGGATGGAGAAGGACTGCAACAGCTGGTGGGATTGGCTAAGGAAAGGACTTCACAGTGATGGTGTGGCCCTCCAGCTGACGTGTCCGATAGCCCATTAATGAGTCCAGAATTTCCCTGACATGTAGCCCAAGGACAGCATTAACTCAGTGTGCCAGGGGTCCTTGGAGTCAGGGAGTGGCTGGACGTAGTTTCAGTTCCTCTTCATAGCCCACATTTATCTGTGGGTCCCTCATGATTTCCTCTGAAGTGCCTCTCTTACTGGGGTTTGGGAGCAGGAATTTCTTTAGGTGTTCATATTCCACAGACATGTAAAGGGAATGTGGTATATACCTGCTTTGGAAGCTCTGCAATAGTTCTGTCCAGTGTAAGACAGAAACCTGATGACCACCGACCACTGCATAGAGAGTGACTCCCAGGCCGCCCACATCCACCGCAGAGCCATCGTACTTCTGCGTATGTTGCCTACAAGAGTTTCAGGACAGTGTAAGAAGCACTGACACAGAAGTTATCTATCCTGTTGCCAAAGGTGAGCTCGTTGCTAAAGCCAAAGTCTGCAAACGTGAAGTTCGGTTCAGCGTCCACACAAGCAGGTTCTTTGGCTGTATGTCCCTGTGCAGGATCCCCGTCTGGGGGCAGTACTATCTGTTGGATTCTGCCTTGGGCCAAAAACTTAGGCAGAGCCAGGGACTAAAACAGGTGCTTGGCATTTTACAATAATGACTCCTACTGAGGTCATAGCAAGAAATGGACCAATCACAGCTGAGGATAATCCGCTGTGGTTTTCTCATTTTTGGTCTGAAGAATTTTTTTTTTAATTAAAAAAAAAAAAAAAGGCAGGGAGGAGGACTTCAAAGGGCTTTCTGTTCACACAGGTGAAAGTGATCAATACTTTTCAATGTGGCAAATTAAATCCATAGAATGCTTCCCTCCAGTCTGAAAATCTGTAATTTTGACTTTTAAAAACTCATAGTGTCCACACTGAAAATATTCCTTTCTCTTTAATCTCTGAATGATTGGTCTCAAAATGATGCCACAACTTGCATCACTTAAGAAAATGTTCTGTTGCATAAGACACAATAAGGTAACTATTAACATCTATAGAGCTGAGGGTAAGACACATTTTCATTTCTTATTTAGAGTTTTGCCAAGTCTCTGGAATAAATTCCTCTTTTCCATGAGCCAGGGAACTTGCTATGTCCATTGGGGTATCTTTAAATGTAGAAGTTGCAACTGTAGGTGAAGAAAGTAAGTCTTTTTCAGCCAGGCACAGTGGTGCACACCTGTAGTCCCAGCTACTTAGGAGGCTGAGGCAGAAGGACCACCTGAGCCCAGGAGTTCAAGACCAGCCTAGGTAACATCATGAGACTCCATCTCAAAAAAAAAAAAAAAAAAAAAAAAATTAAGCCTGGGCACGGTGGCTCATGCCTGTAATCCCAACACGTTGTGAGGCCAAGACAGGCAGATCACTTGAGGTCAGGAGTTAGAGACCAGTCTGGCCAACATGGCGAAATCCCGTCTCTACTAAAAGTGCAAAAACCTAGCCAGGCATGGTGATGCACTCCTGTAGTCCCAGCTACTCGGGAGGCTGAGGCAGGAGGATCACTTGAACCTGGGAGGTGGAGGTTGCAGTGAGCCGAGTCTGGGTGACAGAGTGAGACTGTCTCAAAACAACAACAACAACAACAACAAACTGTACTTGTTTTTTAAGCCACCAAGTCATTACGTTCCACATCCATATCATTCAGCATCAATGGGGGGTGTAGGTGCTAGGCACGGTGCCAGGTGCCAGGACCTGAGGGGAAGGAACCAGAAGCCACTTCATTTCTTCCTTCTCTAAAACTCATCCTTGAATTTTTCAGATTCAAGTATTTGACCTATATCATTTTGCTTCTCTCTAAAGAACAACTTTTAACACTTTAACTTCTTTTAATAGTTAAGGCAAATCTAATGGCAATAAATCCTCTCAATTTTGTCTGGAAAAATGTTTATTTCCCCTTCATGTTTGAAGGATAATTTCACTGGATGAGGAATTCTATGTAGGTGGGTCTCTTTTCCTTACTTGCTTGCATGGTTGCTGAAAAAAAGTCTGATGTAATTTCCATTCTTGTCTCTCTTCATGTAAGGTGTCCATTTCATCCCTAACCCCAGCTTCCTTCAGTATCCTTCAGTATTTTGTTTTTTATTTTTCTACAGTTTGAATACAATATGCTAAGTGTAGATTTTTTATTTTCTTTTCTTTTTTTTTTTTTTTTTTTTTTTGGTACTTTCTTGCCTACTGTTCTCTGAGTTTTCCAGATCTGGGAATATCATTAATTACGAAAAACTCTCAGCCATTATTGTGGCAAATATTTCTTCTGTTCTTTTCTTCCTTCCCCTTCTTGGTTCCCACTAACATATGTTATACTTTGTGTAACTGTCCCACGATTCTTGGATGTTCCATTCCATTTTCTTCAACCTTTTTTCTCTATCACAGTTTCTGAAGACTCTACTGACGTTTCTTTCAGTTCACTGATTTTCTCCTCAGCCATGTCCGGGCTACTGATGTGCCCATCAAAGGCACTCTTCTCTTCTGTGAGTTATTTCTACCATTTCTTTTCTATTCCTTCTGTGAGTTATTTCTACCATTTCCTTTCTATTCCTTCTTCAAGTCTCCATCTCTCTATTCACATTACTGATCTGCTGCATGTTATCCACTTTTCCCATCAGGGCCCTCCGCACGTAATCACAGCTGTTTTAAATTACCGGTTCGATCATCCTAACGTCCTCACCACACCTCAACCTGGTTCTAATGCTCGCTCTGTTTCTTCCAAATGGGGTTGTTGTCTTTAGTTTTTGCCTTGTCATTTTTTGTTCAAAGCTGGATATGCTGTATTGGTTAAAGCAACTCAATACTGGTCTCCCACAGAAATTTTCATCCCAACTAAGAAGTTGGGATGCTCTGTATCTGCCTGTTGTCTCTCTTATTTGGGGGACAGTAGTTTACCCTGTGACCTCAATTTTCTGATAGATATAAGAAAAGTGGCTGATTTTCAGTTTGTTTAGCTTTTTCCTTATTGTGAGGACTAGAGTGGTGACCTCCAAGCTCCTTACGTCTCAGACCAGAAACTGCAAGAGTTTTGTTTTCGGTATTTATATAAGTAAGTTGCATTCTTATAAAATTAAAGTACATTTTACAATTCACTAAGAGCTTTAGTGTATGTGATTTAAATGATAAGGTAAATTTCATTAAGTTTGTAGACTCTGTTTTAAAATTCACGACCGGGCGCAGTGGCTCACCCCTGTAATCCCAGCACTTTGGGAGGCCAAGGCGGGCAGATCACTTGAGGTCAGTAGTTTAAGACCAGCCTGGCCAACATGGTGAAAACCATCTGTACTAAAAATACAAAAGAAATTAGCCGGGCATGGTGGCGGGCGCCTGTGATACCAGCTACTCAGGAGGCTGAGGTAGGAGAATCACTTGAATCTGGGAGGCAGAGGTTGCAGTGAGGCAAGACTGCACCACTGCACTCCAGCCTGGGTGACAAAAGTGAGACTCCATCTCAAAAAAAATTCACATTTATCAAAGAAAAAAGATAACAATACAATTGTCTTTTATTTGCACTGGTTAGTGTTCCATTAAATTAGTGCCACTGAAGCCTCAACAGTATTTGGCTCAAAAGTTAAGCTGTGAAACCGCAGCAGTCATATTTTATTTATTCAGAAATATAAAGTGCACTTTTTAAACTATCTGGAAATAGAAAAGATCTCTATTTCTTGGAATAACAGATTCCTTAGGGTGAGGAGGAGCAAGACCTTTTCTAATAGTACAGATATTTTGAGATCTATGTTTTCAAAAGTACAGCATAATGCACTAAGGCCTCATTTACTAGACGCCATCAGTAACGAGGGGTTCTGCCTCGAGGAAATCTCCAAACAAATCAGACTTACACTTCAAAACTCAAAAAACATATATAAATTTTTACTATGTTGGCAGGGATCTTTCTCATCTGTATTTGCTTTCCCAATATGAAACACAACTGAACTTGAAAATATGATAATTAAAAAGTATGAAATATTGCAAGAAATACCAAAATGTGACAGAGACATGAAGTGGGCACACGCTGTTGGAAAAATGATGCTGAGACACTTGCTTAAATACCGGGTTACGACAAACTTCATTTTGTTTTTTTTAAAACAAGCATTATCTGTGAAATGCAGTATCCACAAGGCACAATAAAGCAAACTGCAATCAAGCGAGGTGTGACTACAAACTCTCTAAACTCCTCATAATCCAAAAATGAGAAACTGAGAACTACCAACACATTTAATCAAATTTTATATTACTATGCTTGGTTCAAAGAACAACAGCACAAACTCTGAGCTAGAAATTAAGCGAAAATACCAAATTGATTACATAATTCACATGCAATTAGCCAAA